ACATTTAGGAGGATCTATTGGTGAGTGGTGTTCAGTTAGTTGCAATGTTAAACGTCACCACTAGATGCCACTAAATCCTTTAACACAATGGTTCTTTAAAGATTTCATCTGTTTTTCTTCTCCTGTAAACATTTAATTTATTTTGCACAAACTCAAGCATTTCATTTCACATGATGTCTGAGCTCTACTGTGCATAAATATCTTCAGATTTGACTCCCTTGTTAGACAGGAAGCAGCTCAGCTAAAACCACATGTTGGTTTCCAGCTCAAATAGAGGACACACTGCCTTTAGACAGTAATCACCAAGTCATAATTGATCAGGTTTCTGCTCTATTTCTATGTTTTCTTTTCGGTTTGGCTCCTTGCTGCAGACTCCTGTCTTCATCTCTGCTCTTCCCTCTGTTCTTACGTTTCAAACCAGTGACTGTGCAGCACCACAGCTATAACAAATGACAAAATTCCTGCAACTGGACAACGTAAAGCCTCGAACAACATTCAAAAATAGCACCGAGAAAGAAAGAAAATCCTGCTGCTGAGACAAACATAAAAACAGGCCTTAACTTTAGCCTCCTGTCAATAAAAGCCAGTAGCTTTGTTGTTTTCTTTCTAAACTGCCTCCTCCTCCTTTTTTTTTTTTGAGGAAGTGACAAGACAAATGCTGCTCTTCTGTCAAATTAGCAGTGAGTCACACAGACAGAGAAAAGCAGATTTAGGTGCTGGCTCCGCAAATGTTTGAGATCAAACAGCTTCAGATGGTGATGGATGATAAGAGCAGGCGGTGGCGGCTCAGTGCGGGAGCAGCACGCCATCTAATGGACAAAGCAGGGACTGCCGTGCCTCGTTTTCTGCTGCATTTCTTGTTGAACTGATGATTCAGAAGGATTCCCAAAGTTTCCCACGTCAGAGAAAACAGGTCTGACAGAACAATTTTAACCCTGAAGAGGCTGGTAGGACCTCTGTGTACTGTAAGCGTAAAGGCACTTAAACAAGAGAACTGGACCATACCAGACATATACAGCAATTTAAGGAAAATGTGCACTGCTTAGGTTAAAATAATGATAAAATATAACTTAAAAGAACCACACCAGAGGAGGAATGGGGGAAAAATGAGACAAATTCTATAAGCTTGTGCTCTTCCTCTGGATAAAGGAAGAGGGAGATATAATGAAAGAAAGACAACTATGTGAAACTGTATGTGTGTGTGTGTGTGTGTGTGAGAGTGAGTGGGGGTTATAGAGGCAGAATGAAGGAAGCAGATATGGAGGAAGGAAGGAGATAAAGACAGGAGGAGGGAACGCATAAATATTTTGGGGAAATACATTCCATGTTGGTTTGCTCACAAAGATGAATTATTCCAACAGTTCAACAGTGGCAGCGCTGCTTACATTACAACACAATACAACACAACAGTGAGTGGAAACTACTCATACTGCTGAGTGTGTGCCGCACCGATCATATCATAAACAGCATAGAGGATATTGTACAAATATTATAGTAAGGTGAAGTCCATGTGGGAGTAGCACAGTGAGACAAACTTCCATAGAAATGTTTCATGTTTTTACAGGAATATAATGGAAATATTAAAAGAAAACATGCAGCAGAGCAACAAAAGCACACCATTAAATCCAATGAGATTACAATAAGGGTTCTATATATTGATTTGATCAGTCTAAAGCTGTATTTCCCTTTATGTATTCTCTAAGGAAAGTACAAGACTGATTGATTTTTGTGATTTCAGTTCTCACATTTACCTTTTCCCCTTTTCAAGACATCAGCTGATCTCCGAGCGCGTCTGCAGAAGTGGTATCACAGTTTTGCAAGTATAGAAACTAATTGAGAAAAAAGAGAGCTCATTCTCACTCACCAGCGACCGGTCCGTCTTCTCTCGTGGGTTTCTCTCTTTTTCTTGGCAGAAGAAGGAAAAAAAAAAAAATGCGTCTCAACCTGTCGGAGGCGTCGCTCAGGTAATGCTGCTGCACTTATCGCCGTTGTCCATTTTTATTGCTGCACTCTGGTAACTTCAGTTAGACTTCAAACTCTGCAGCATGCAGCGATGCATGCCCACGGCCGTCCCTGTGACGTCGAACGGCCTCGTCACGTGACAGGAAGTGTAGCCCTGGGACGTAAACAACTTTACCACGAGCTCTGCTGAAGCAGCTTTCTGCTCTATTACAGCGTCACACACACACACACACGCACGCACGCACCTATTTGTGTTATTATTTGCTTATCTATAATTTATTTAGCATTATTTACTACAGGCTTATCACATAACTTATAACTGTTTATTTCCTTGCATATTGTTCAATATCACTCACTAATCTATCTATCTATCTATCTGAAACTATCTAAATTTAATACCGATGCTTCTGCGTAAACTAACCAGACCATCCGAAGGTGACACCATTGGCTATTTCTATGTGGTTATTCTTAATGTCTGCCAGCTGATTTCCCTTGAAATCAATGAAAGGAGGCGGTGGAAACACTACCGGTTGTGTCCACAGGGGCCCGCCAAAATCACCAAGGGCCAGTTTAATCTGGATCAAAATTATCCGGATTTGGAAATCCCATTTTTTGCTATTCAGGATCAGGTAATCCGTCTTACTTTTATGCCAGTTTTTCAAGATTACCAAATCCGGATTACCAGTGCTCTAAATGGGACAACATATCACAATGTGGGCTACCAGCTATGTAAAGAACAACAGGTAGAAGAGCCAACATGGGGTCACTGTAAGTGTTTCTTATTTTGAGACAAAACACAAAATAACATAAACATCCACTTCCATTCATAATTTCTTCAACACTGCTCATTGCAACAAAAAAAGGATGTCAATTTGGAGCGTTTAAATGGAGTTCTGAAGAGACGCCTTTTGCATGCCTTAACTACTTGCGAGTGGAAACCGACAGGGAGCATGCGAACATAATACTGCGTGTATTCGTCCTTGCCACAACCAATGCGGCTTACCAGGCGCGAATGTCCCTTGCTCTGGATATGATGTTGTATGATAGCACCTGAGCCTCGTTTGAAGAACCAGACCAAACTCTGCGTGTCTGTCAGAAAAAGATGAGGACTGGAACCTGGACGTGTAAGTAAAGGGATGCAATTGTTTTTGACAGGTTATCTCTGATGATTGTTTTCTTTGAAATTAATAGTACGATAAATGAATGACAGAAAAAATGTAAATATATATATTTTTGTTTGTTATTGAAAATCGTTTGGGGGATTATTTCATGGGGACACGATCATTCTTTAATATATTATTTTATTTTTTACTCTTGCTAGTTCTCCGGGACACAATCCCATTGACAGGACGTGTTCATAGTTTTTTGGTAGTTAATGTCGGTGGACGGTTTGGGTGGTCGTGATGTTTCATTTTGTCGGTATGCATGGAAGTCGGTCTATGCCAAATCCAAGAATCTATTGACAATAAGGTGAAGACGTGGAGATAAAATTAAAGACCGTGTGGTATTTACCTAAATATACGCAAGATGGTGATCTGGATTTGGACCAATTTTAAAGTTTT